TCAGTGCATCTCTAATTATTGGCGACATCAGAAATTGATATTATATAATAGCTGCTTTTTTGAATATTTTAGCAATTTAAAAATATTAAAAGGATTTTTTACACGGCAACCCTGCTCTTGACAGATGGCACCCCAGTTGGGAAACACTGGTCTAGAGTGAATGGATTTGGGGATACCAGCTGCGACTGGCTAGAGTGAATGGATTTGAGGATACAAGCTGCGACTGCTGACACCAGCGGTGAATTCTCCACGCTGGATGCCAGTCTGGGATACAGAAGACCTGACCTCGAAGATCTGAGTGCAACAAACGGGAAGTGATGAGAATCTGGACAATCAGCTGTGACATGATGAGACTCTGGAAGATCAGCTGTGATGTGACGTGACTCTGGACGAACAGCTGTGATGTGACGTGACTCTAGACGAACAGCTGAGATGTGGTGAGACTCTAGAAGATCAGCTGAGACGTGACGAGGCTCTGGCAGATCAGCTGAGACGTGACGAGACTCTGGAAGATCAGTTGAGACTTGACCCCTGACGATCAGCTGTGACTTGACTTGACTTGACTTGACTCATGAAGATGAACTGTGACTTGACTGGACTCAGGAAGATCAGCTGTGACTTGACTTGACTTGTGAAGATCAGCAATGTTGGGGGGCGCCCAGGACCAGGGTTGAGAAACACTAGGCTAGGATCAAGACACGGGAAAACAGACTATGAACAAGGCTAGGATCAAGACACGGGAAAACAGACTATGAACAAGGCTAGACTCATGAATTTTGAAGGGCTCCGTAAAGTAGCTATCCCTAGGTGAGCGATAAATGCTGAACAATACTCGGCGTTGAATGATGGTGTGAGACTGATTTATATAGTGTGTGTTATTGGTAGCAGCTGTGTGTGATTGGTTTCAGGTGAGCTTGTAATTAGTGCAATGGAGCATGGGAAATGTAGTCCAGGGTGATGTGTAACAGTCTGTGTGGTGTGAGAGTCCATATAAAGGGAGGGCGACCTCTGGTGGCAAGCAGACGGAAGTTCATGGACAGGATTCGTGACAATACCTAAAATACATACTTTACAGTCAACATTTTGCAGATTGATCATAAACACAACTAAAAGGCTTCCTACCAGTGGCCATCCTTCACAAAACTTAACATTTACCACAGTTTTATCATAGGTAGAATGCAAAATGTTTCAATACAAGCATTTCAGTCAAATGTAATTTATGCAATATTTCAAACCTTTAACCCACGGGAAAAAAATCAACCCGCCGCAAAAATCAGCCCAATTCCGTGGAAAGAAATGTGGATTTGGCAACCCTGCATCCTACACGAGCTGCATCCAAAGTGATTTAAATACTCCACATATTGATAGCTTCTCCCTGATGCGTGAAAATTCTATGCAATATTAGAATGTTTGCGTGAGCAGGCAGTAATGTTCAGAAATTGTGAGCGCATTTTTTTAAGTCCAAAAAGAGGACATGTCTGGGGAAAAGACGATGTATGGTCACCCTAAAGTAACGGATATGCTTTGGGGAAATGTTTCAGAGTAAAAGTATACATTTTAATTAGGAAATATAGTGGAGTGAAAAGTGAAAGTTGACAGACATATTAAAACTCAAGTAAAGTACAGATTCTCCCCAAAATCCTTAAGTACTGTAACAAAGTATTATTACTTCGTTACATTACACCACTGTAGAGCGGATTATTGAGCGGAGCGTCACGCTGCACAATAACAACGGCTAGAGGGAGAGTGAAACCTGCACGCTGAACACTGCCGATAATTTTCGGCGGCCGAAATTTCGGTTCATCCCTACAATTAAATAAAGTTCAAGTATATGTACTGATAGTTTACTAGTTATATACTTCTGATAAAAAATTTATTTTTTGAAAGTGCACTCTGAAGAATACTCTCAATAAACTACTAGTTTAATTATAATTTTATTGAACACGTAATTTTTCAGTGCATACTTAAAAATATATATATAAATTTTAAACTTTAAGTATGATGTTAAGATAACTTAAAGAAAACTCACAAGTATACTTTTATACTCACTTTTAATCTGGGAGAATTGAAAGTGCACTTTTGTAAAAAAAAAAAAAAGTAGTATAGTTGCAATAATCAAGCGTAGCGTTAGTTCTGGCAGGTCATGTTAGTCAAGCATGCATCAGCTGACTCTCAGCTGATCCCCATTTACCTATGGGAATACGACACCTATCTAAGCATTCATATATAAGGTCCCTCAGTATTATTAGCAGTTTTCACATTGCTCAATAGCTAATTACTCTCCTCCATCCCCAACTCCTCCTCTGTCAGTCAGGATTCAGCCTTCTGATTATCCTTTGAATCAGACTAATTCTAAAAGGTGTACATAAAATGATTGAACTTTAAAGATATCTGCAATACATTTATGTTGGTTCTGTTCTGTTTACTCTGGGGGGGTTATCGCTGCTCTCCCTGCTCTCATCCATTCTAGGCTGCATGGTAGCGCAGGGAGTTCTTGCCCAGAACAGAACCATATCGCCAATCCAAACTGTATGCTAATTGTCAATCATATTTGACGATAGTGGTCCTTACAGAACTAATAGTTACAATAGATGTAAACTAGTTTTGTGCTAATATACTACTGGCACACTTAGAGTACACTTAAATGTATACTTTTTAGAAGCTAAAAAGTGGGTTAATGTAGTCCCAAGAAGTGAAGAGCAGTAACTCTGTTTGACCTCTCTCTTTTTTGAGGACATACATTATAGAATGCGTGTATTTAATGGCACACATTAAGCAATTTCTAAAGTAACTGCAATCTAACTGAAGTTAATGCATATATCATTCGGACTAATATTATAGTATTTCACATAAAAGGCTGTATTAGTTTACATATAATTTGTACAAATGAATGCATGTCTTCTTAATTAAATTACACATACAACGCAATTTATCTGCTTACTAAAACTGAGTTAGCTTAACTAGTTCCTGTTATCACTAGTATCTGCTGTTATTACCAGAATATACTTATTTGAATTTGGGTCATTTAATAATTTTTTTTTGCCTGTTGCCTCATATTCTGGACTAACAATGCTAATTGATGCCAAATGAATCTAAGAGTAATTTATCTGCCGTTCTGCTCTACATTATTATTTTTTCCAAATCTTTGAAATTTTGTCCAATTATTCAGAAATTTTCTAATTAACATCCACCAAAAATAAGTCTCATCAATGCTTTTAGAGACATTCTCCTGAGAGATCCACTCAAGCCTAAATTACTCTTTATAGCCACTTGGCCGGTTGTTCACTCTAAAACTCCATTAGACACTTAAAGTATGATTACTGATGTATTCTTTCAGCCCTTGCAAAAATAAATTCATGTTTTGTGCTTCTGAAAGGCTTTTCTAGATCTTTCCGACTGTTAGATCATACTAGCTGGAAAAGTGTGCTAATAAACCCATCACTTAAGTGTGGTCCTCGTCTCTGAGCAAAAGGGGAGATGAAATTGGCATACGGTACAGTGGTATTATGTGGTGGAGAATGCGGGCAAACGTGATGCTATTATGGCATGAAAAGCAGTGAGAGTAGAGCGGTTACTTGGGTTTGATGATTCTAATGTAGTGTGTTTAGTGACATGTAGTGGTGTGCAGTGGTTTCTGGTGATGGTTCTGAGAAATGTTCCCACAGTCATCAACACTAAAAGCTCCCGAACACTGATTAACAAGATGGTGGGTGCATTGTTTCTCTTGAGGTTCAGCAGTGTGCATACAGTATATATACAGCAAAATATATGTTGTTGTTGTTCAGTTGTATGTATATTCAATACAAAATATATGTGATTTGCAAACATATATAAAGTAATTGAATGCAAAATCCTATGATTGCTCAGTCAGAATCAAGTAAGCACAGATTCAACACAAATCAATATTTTAAGTCCATATATTCATTTATTTGGTAAGTAGTCATGCAACAAGCAGGGCAATGCACAGCTAGATGGTCATTATCACAAAACAAATGCAGAAATATTGATCAGGATTTCAATGTGAAGCAGAGATTGTGTTCAGTCCACTCTCTTTCTGTCATATAATAGAATAATTTCTCAAATCAATATTTCATGTGCATTTGTTTTATTTATTAGAGAGTGCATTATGCTTCGAGTCTGTTGAGGTTTAAGTGTGTGTGTGTGTGTGTGTGTGTGTGTTAGTGTATATACACACACATAAATACTTGTGATATTTAAGCTAACTTAGTTTTAGTAAGCAGATAAATTGTGTTTTATGTGTAATTTAAGAAGCCATACATTCATTTGTACAAATTATATGTAAACTAATACAGCCTTTTATGTGAAATACTATAATATTAGACCGAATGATATATGCATTTCCTTCAGATATTCAGTTAGATTGCAGTTATTTTAGAAATTGCTTAATGTGTGTCATTAAATACATGCATTCTGTAATGTATTTCCTTAAGTAAATGCCATAAATGTTCTGAGAATATACAGAATGTGAATTTACTTTAGAAACTCTTAAGAGATGATTCATAAACATGCATTAATCAGAATCAGAAATCAGAAATCAGAAAGAGCTTTATTGCCAAGTATGTTTGCACATACAAGGAATTTGTTATAGTGTCACAAGCTTCCAGTACACGGAGACAACAACAACACACAGATAATAAAAATGAGATGTGAATAAAATACACATGCATAAATATAAACCACAAAAAAAGAATAAATTGTATGTACAGGTGTGCTATAGATGGAATAGGAATAAAATAAAATAAGTTGTAGGGATGTACTAGGGTTTAGGGTGATAAATAAGTATAAGGTTATTGCACATACTGTACTTTAATTGCACAATGGGAGAACATTAACTGTTCATGAGGTAGATTGCCTGGGGAAAGAAACTGTTCTTGTGCCTGGCTGTCCTGGTATTCGGTGCTCTGTAACGCCGACCAGATGGCAAAAGTTCAAAAAGGAGATGGCTTGGATGTGATGGATCCAGAGTGATTTTCTGAGCCCTTTTCCTCACTCTGGATGTATACAGTTCTTGGAGGGTAGGCAGGGGGGCACCAATAATCCTTTCAGCAGTCCGAACCGTTCTCTGTAGTCTTCTGATGTCTGATTTTGTAGCTGAACCAAACCAGACAGTTATTGAAGTGCACAGAACAGACTCGATGACGGCTGAGTAGATCGAGTGAGTAGACGGCTGAGTAACTGCATGTTTTAAATGCAGTTAAAACATTTCCCCTTGTGTTTTAATGTTCATAATATATTGGACCATTACTGGGGTCTTTGTGGTGATCAAATTTAGACTGTACTGGGGGATCAGCTTTAAACTAGTAAATAGGGATGCACCGATACCACTTTTTCAAGAACGAGTCCGATACTGATATTTTTGGTACTTGTTGATACCAATACCTGTATTTTCATTGCATTTGTAATTTTTATTATTGGGTCCAGAAACCAAAATAATATGAATCATGTTACTTGGCTTCATTTAGCAAATAGATAGGCCTATTTCTTTGCTATTTTCACACTTAATTAGGCTATGCCCGTTGAAATGTATTGTTACTTTCACTGTTCATTTTATTGCTGTATGGTCAGGGCCAGATTTACCTCTTTTCGTGACATAGGCAAAACCAATTTTTGGGCCCCCCTTCCCTATTAATGTAATATTAATACCTAATAATACCACCACCCAAGCAAAAAAATAAATAAAATTCTTAATCAGTGAAAC